CTCAAAGAGGATTATAAATTCCCTACCCCTGCAGTGGACTGCCCCAGTGGCACCCATTTCCACCCACTTCAAACCAGAAACCCCATTGTCAACCTTGATCCCTCATTTTCTTCATGTTCCACAGCAAATCTGTAAGCAATTCCTGCTGATTTGTTTTCTTCCCAAACAAGTCTTGAAGTTACAGCTGTCCTCTTAGCTAGCCTCAGATGCTCTCATCTAGTATATTGATTATTACATCAGCCTCTTTTTTTTTTTTTTTTTTTTTTTTTTTTTTTTTTTTTTTGGTTTTTCGAGACAGGGTTTCTGTGTGTAGCTTTGGAGCCTGTCCTGGAACTCGCACATCAGCTCTTAATTGACGCCATACTCTCATAGTCTCCATCCCCTTTGCTATTCATTATTTGTGATATTCCATTAAAATGGAAATCAAGTGAAGTATTCTGTTACTTTCAATGCTTCAGTAGCTTTACAGTCATTTGAAGTAAAATGAACACTTGGCCCTGTGGAATCTGACCTCATCTTTTCCCAGGCTTCTCTCCTACAACTTTCCATTTCCTAATTACTCGGATGCACTCGCCTTCCAGGGCCTTGAGTACCTGATAATAACTTTCTGGGGCTGGAGAGGTGGCTCAGAGGTTAAGAGCACTGGCTACTCTTCCAAAGGTCCTGAGTTCAATTCCCAGCAACCACATGATGGCTCCACACAAGCATCTGTATTGAGATCTGGTGCCCTCTTCTGGCATGCAGGCATACATGCAGGCAGAACGCTGTATACATAATAAATAAATAAAATCTTAAAAAAAAAAAAAAAAGAAGAACTTTCTGTACTCAGTACTGCTTGCTCACACACTATTTTTTCTCTCTGAAATTTACTCCCCTGTTCTTTATCTGTGGTCTTCTTACCAGCTCAGAGATGTCTTCCATCTCTTGGAGTACAGCTCAGTCCAGAGAGGTCTGTGTGACTCAGTTGTTATTCTTTTTCTTATTCTTTTTCTTTCTTCTTTACTTATTTTTTCAGAGACAGGGTTTCTCTGTGTAGTCCTGGCTGTCCTGTAACTTGCTCTGTAAACCAGGCTGGCCTTGAACTTAGACACCTGCTTCTGCCTCCTGAGTGCTGGGATTAAAGGTGTGTGCCGCCGCCACCCAGCATCTCTTACTTTCTTTGTGACAGACACATCACAGTTTTTACCTGTAGTCCCTAACTCTAACCTAAGTTTCCTGATGGCTCTTTCATCGTTGTATGAGAACTTTAATATGAACAGGTGTTGGATAATTGAATGAGGGGCTAAGGATTACAGAGGAACTAAGGACAGTCCTCAGACCTCCAGCAGAGACAACGGGAAAGACGGTGCCCTGTTCATCAGAATGAAACCACAAGGATCTGTTTAGAAGAGGAAGATTTGGCTTTGGCTTTACATATAGTGAATGCAAAATGCCTCTGGAATTAGCCAGGCACTGATGCTACTCAATTGCCCTGTAAGAACCAAACTTTCCTGTTGTAATAAAAATTTATTTATTTATTATCTATTTTTGAGACAAGGTCTCACTGTGTAGCCCTGGCTGACCTGGACTTGCTCTGTAGACCATGCTCACCTTTAACTCACAGAGATCTGCCTACCTCTGCCTCTGCCTCTGCCTCTGGGACTGCTGAGTTAAAGGCTTGTGTCACCAGGGCTGGCCTCCCTCCTGCTTTTATAGGACTATTCAAAGCCTTGGTAAGCTTGGGAGATGCTAGATCTCAATCAGCACAGTTTGGGACAGTGAGAATGTGAACCTTCTTTAATGCTGTTGGGCCGTCTCAGCCGTCACGGTGGCCTCTGCATGGTGGCAGAGCTGCTTTAGCGTGCACGAGCCCATCTGGAAGTCAAACATGTCTGTGCATCCACTGCATGATTCATTCTTGGGGCAAAAAGCAGTTATGTGACTGTGAGGGAAACATCTGCTGGACCAGTGAAAGGAGAGAAGTTGTCATTGACTGACATTATTTATGATTAAACTTTTAATTACCTGTGGGTAAAGATTTTTAGCTTATTTGGGTAATTTGACTTAATGCAAATTTAGAATGTTGATAGAAATTTCACATCCTCTGGTTCAACAAAGAAATAGAAACATTCATATCTTATTTTCAGCTCTCAGGTTTAGAGCAGACTTCAGTCTTCCACATCACCTCCCTCCTGCTGAGTCTTGGTCCTCTTCATCCCAATACCCTGGGCAGCTTTTACTAATCAACCAGAACTGACTACATCATAAGATTTCTTTTGGTATTGGTGATGGTAAATCTCAACTCTTAACTTGATCAGATTAAAAAAAAAAACAAACAAACACAAAACACCACTGTATTTATTTATATGTATGTGTGTTTGTGTGTATAAGCCACACAGTATGTTCCTACAAAGGCCAGAAGAGGGCATCAGAAGCCATAGTTATGTGGAATTACATGGGGTTGTGTTCCCGACACAGGCCGAGCTCTTGACCAATGAGCCCATCTCTCCAGTCCTAAAGCTGCAACTTTTTGTGTTTTGTTGTTTTACCCTAAACTTTAAAAAATTTTAAACATTTTTTTTTGCAAAATTGGATATTTTTTCTAATATTCTTTAGATCTTTGTTGTAGACTTGTGAATCTGCCTCTTCAATGTGATTAGTAAACATAAAAATATTACAAAATCAGCCAGTACAGTTTTGAAAACTTAATTTTTTAGGGCCATCATTAACCTGGTGTGGCAAGGGCCAGCACAATCCTTAGTTTCTTTAGTTCCTCCTGAAGAGAAGGCTCTGACTGCCACGCTGCTTTCTTTTGTGTCTGTGTGGAATTTCTTGGTCTGCTTCCCTCTGTTGTGCCTTGTGACCTAGCAGAAGGGAGTTTTCCTCTCTTGTTGCAAAAAGACTCCAGGAGTCTTTTGCTTGATGGCGCGCATATGAAGGAAGGGCCTTATTCTTCAGCGGTCTGTTTAGATTGCTGCCTTACCCTGAGCCACCTGGTTAGAATGAAAACCACTTGTCACACTAATGCATGGGCTTTCAATGAGTGAGTAGATCTGTGGGACGTGAGCTGTCTCTGTGCTCAGGGGTGCCTGCCCACTGAGGGAGCCCAGGGATCCAGACTCTGCTCTGTACTGCGCTGATGGGAGCGCCTGGTTTGCTGGTGATGGGTTGGGAAGTGAATTGAAGAGGTGGTGCTGGAGCGAGACCTTCCAGATCAGGGCTGTGCTGTTAGGCCGACCTTCAGATATCCCTGAAGAACTCACGCAGGAGCCCTGCAAGTCAGTGCGCATTTGGAGCTTACCACTCAGAAGGCATTAGTAGCCAGCCAGCAAGGAGCTAGGGGAGGGATAGCAGCCTGAGCGCAGGTTGGGTACACTCTATTGCTCTTTCTATCACACCGACCTCTCAAGAGGCTTCTGCACTGGAGCCCACGAGCTTTCCCATTCCTTACTCAGCTGACTCCCTGTCTAAAGACAAGGAGCACTTGAGTCTGCTGTCAGGCTTCTTGCAGAGTGGGTTTGGAGCCAGGCAATCTGGCGGTCCTGGGTTGTCCCGGTTGTCTTCGTCACTGCCGTTTCCTGTCTTTTTTTCCAGAAGAAAACTCGATACCCTATCACCCCAGGTTAGAACCTGCTGCTTCTCTCTAAAATATGTCTGCTTTGCTCTCACTTACACTTACGTTTTTGCTTTAGAATAAAGGAACGTGAGAAGGAAGAAGAAAAAAGGAAAATAAATGAAGAAAAAGATGCCGAGGAGATAAAGCGTCAGAATTTGCTGTATGAAATAGAAATGAAAAAAAGACTAAGCAAGAAACAGAAGGAGATCGATGAAAGCAGGAAACTGTTCTTGGTAAGTTGAAAATGCCTCAGTGGAGCGGTTACACAGTCAGATGCCTGACAAACGCCAGGGGAGGAAACAAGTATCCAGCAAGCTGTGTTCCTGTGAACCCCTCCTTGGAGTGATCCTGTTCAGTGTGGTTTTGTGCAGATGGAATTCCATGCAGGAGAGAAAAAGAATACGTTTTCTATTTAAAATTAATTTTCTTAAAAGCTGTGAGGAATGAATGGGGGTGATTTATGAATGATGTGATGTCTTATGGATGTAATTTATTTGATTTCATGGTTTTTAAAATATTATTTTTTAACATTTAAAAAATCTTATTTTTAACTTATGTGTGTGGGTGTTTTGCCTGCTTGTGTGTCTGTGCACCACATCTGTGTTGTGTCTGCAGAGGCCAGAAGACGGTGTTGGATCCACTGGAACAGGAGGTACAGGTGGTCGTGAGCCACGCACCATGTGGGTCCTCTGTAAGAGCAGCCAGTGCTTTTAACCACTGAGCCATCTCCAGCCCCAAGGTTTCTTTTAATTTTTAAGTAATACACGTACAAAGTCAAAACATTAAAACACCTGGAGTCCAATGTTACCAGGTTTATTTAACGTTTTCTTCTGCTGCTAACAGGTGTTATGTACTATTTTACTTTGTTATTTGTATTACATTTACTGTATGTGTGTTTGTCTGTATGGGCATGTGCAGAGCACAGAGGGCAACTTTGGGGAGTCAGTTCTCTCCTTCTATCACGAGACCCCAGCACTCAGGACCGTGAGGCTCAGGCAGCCTGCCTCCTTGAGCCGTCTTGCTAACCCCTGTATTTAGTTTTTATATTAGGCTCCAAATGGTATCAATCTGATTTATTAGTGTCAGCCATTGTCTGCCTCTTTGTCCTGGTTGTGGAGGATTTGGCTCTCATCCTTTGTAATGCATTTCTCAGCTCCTACTCAAGAGTCAGCACACTTAAGTCGTTATCAGGATTGTGTAAATATTTGCCTCTGCAGATCCAAGCTGTACACCATGGTGGCTCCAGTTCTTACATTCTGTGAATGTTCTTTTTCATTTGAAGACAAGGTCTCCCTAGGCAACCCTCATTGGCCTCAAATCTATAACTCTCCTGCTTAGCCCTCCCTCTATCACACAGATCACAGGTGTGCATCACTGTGCCCACTGTTACAAATCCTTACTTCTACCTTGATTTTCATTTGTTTAGTGACTACATTTTTGATCTTTTTAAAATTTCATTTTGATAACTTAGGATTTTTCCATATATTCAATGAATTTTGCCCAGTGAATATTGATGCTAATTTTCAGTATTCAACTGAACAATGAGCACTTACCTATGTTGTTTTTCTTAGAGCCTCCTCCATGCCCTCTCCTTTAGGACTGCCTGTTCCCTAGGCCTGCCTGCTGCCTGGCTGTCGTCCTGGGGCTTCCCTTGCCATTCTGACTCTGATGTCTCCCTGTTTCTGGTTCACTTTCCATCTTGCTGAAGAATATCCTTGAGCATCTTCCTAAGGAAGGGTGTTTGGGATGTCAGTGATTTGTTAAGCTATGTTCTAAACTTTCATGCCACTGATATTACAATTTACTCAACCATCTCTGCATTCTAGAATACTTATAGATTGTTTCCAATATTTTTGTGTTATTAATGTAAATAAACTTGATATAAAGTATGTGGACATAAACATTTATTCAGGCTTCTGATTATTTTGGGATAAATTTTCAGAAGAAAAATAATTATGTGAGAAACCATAACCATTTGGTTCTTGGTAGATATGTTGGAAGGCATTTTTGTGACAAACCATACTTCTTTCCTTAAGGACCATATGCATGACAAAAATATCATCCGAGCTGTAGAACAGCAGCAGCAAGAGGAGGAAGATGAAAAGATCAGAAAGTTTATCAAAGCCAAAAAACGTCTTATACAAATGAGGAAAGACAAGGAAGCTGAAACACACAGGTAGGATTTAAAAATACTTTTTGGATTTCTTACCTTATGACTATGAACGTTTTGCCCACACACGTGGATGTGTGTCTGTTGCTTCCTTGGAACTGAGGTTGTGGATTGTGGTGAGCCATCATGAGGGTGCTTGAAATGGAACCCAGGTCCTGTGCAAGAACAATAAGTGTTCTAAAGTGCTGAGCTGTTTGTCCAGCTCCACAGGTAGGAGTCTTACATAACATAATTGCTAAAGTGATACCTGAGATTGGTTTTCTTTGGAAAATGAAGTCTCAGGGATGACTGGGACATTTGGTGACATGAGAGTTTTAGTTTGGGGCATGAGAGTTAAGGTGAACCCATGGAATGTTCCAGAACTCTCTGTGGTAGATTGTTGAAAACACTGGTCTCCTCTAGGAGAAAGAATGCTGAGCTGAGGAGCCTAGTAGACATCGGTCTAATCATTGCCTTTTCTTATTGCTGTCGATGAACATCTGCAAAGAGACAGCTGAATGGAGGAAGAGTTCATGTTGGCTCACAATGTAGAGTATAAACAGCAGAAAGTCATGGTGGCCAGAGCTACTTGTGACTGTGGAGGCAGAAGCCTGAGGCTGTTTGTTCAGCTCTATGTGGACCAGAAAGCAGGGAGAAATGAATGCTGGTACTTCGGCTCAGTTCATTTTCTCTTTCCTTAATCCAAGACCCCAACCCATGGGATGGTGCTGTCCAGAATCAGGATGGGCTTCCCCTCTTAATTAATCCCCTCTGGAAATGCCATAACAGATATGCCCAAATGTGAGCCTCACCAGTGTCCTGGGTCTGTCTATATATGTCTATCTTTCTTTTTTATTGTTTTTGTTTGTTTGTTTGTTTTTTGATTTTTCAAGATAGCCCTGACTGTCCTGGAACTCACTCTGTAGACCAGGCTGGCCTTGAACTCACAGAGATCCACCTGCCTCTACCTAACAAGTGCTGAGATTAAAGGCCTGTGACACCATAGCCCAGAACTCTTAGATCTTTACTAAGTATCACATTCCTATTGAGGATTTTCAAGATCACCCAAATTAAAAATTGTATCTTCTAGAATAAAACCACAAAATAAAAAGTGAAAAATAAAGGAAAATTACACACTTTGTTATTTCCAATATTGTAAGACCACCTGATTCTTCAGCCAAAAGAGGAAAGTTTTATTTTGGCTCACAGATTTGGAGGCTTTAGTTCATAGGCAGTTGGTCTTGTTGCTTTTGGATCTACAGCAAAGTGGTATACCAGGAGGGGAGTGTGTCCGTCAGGAAACTGATGCCATTGTTGAGATGTGGTGAAGAAGGTGGAGCGTAATTGAAAGAAGTATGTTACTGCAGACATGCCCTGGGGCTATATCTTTTGGTAACCTTTTCTTTTTCTGTTTTTTAATTTTTAAATTTTGGTTTATTCGTTTTATTTTACGTGTGAGTGTTTTGCCTGCATACATGTCTGTTTACCACATATGTGCTTGGTGCTGGCAGAGGTCAGAAAAGGGTGTTGGCTCCCCTGGAACTGGAGTCAGGGGTGGTCGTGAGCCTCCATATGGATGCTGGGAGTCCAACCTGGGCCCTCTGGAAAAGCAAAAGTGCTCTCAACTGATGAGCTGTCTCCACACACACTGCTGCTTGCTCTTTATACTTCTTCCTGTCTACCATTTTTCTGTCCTGTTCTGCCATTTTATTCCCTCCAGGATGAACTACCACCTGAAAACATGAGCTGAAATATCTAATACCTCCTTTTAAGTTTCCTAAATTAGGCACTTTGTTATAGCACTGAGGAGACTTATACAAGGGTAGAGATCTTTGCCGTTTTCATTGTGAAGTCCTCAGTACCTAGAGTAGTGTCTGTAAATAGTAAACTGTTCCGTCTGTAAATGTGCTTAGAACAGTGTTTTGAAATGTTAACTGAACCGTCGTCACCTTTTCCACCAGGTCTTCTGCATGGCTCTCTCTCATTCGCATGGCCTATACCACCATCTGCCCTATGTGTTTGCATAAATGTCTCTTTTCCACTTTAGACTCTACTTTCTTTGCCTGTTCACAGTATCTTTTTCACAATTTCTCATACAAAACTTCATCAACTCACTCAATAAATTAGTGAACTTGTCATAACTAATTAAAATATTTCTGTTTAGTCTCCTTCCCTCATTCTTTTAATAAAATGTGCTTGTTGTGTATGATGTCCCAGACACATACTTGGCCCTGGACCAGAAAGAATTCATCCAGCCCCTGACCTCAGAAACTTCACAATGTGTAGGACAGGGACATACAAACAGATGAAATCAACACGTCTATGATTTGGTTCTGGATGGGATGTTGTGGTAGTATGAATTATTTAGTATTTTGGTAACATATAGTTATTTCCAAGGTTTTATTTAAAGAAAGGGTGTTTATAGTATAAATCTCAGTGTTAGGGCAAGCAGAATGGTCCAACAAAGTATTCTAGAATATGTTCTGGGCTGCACAAGCAGATCCTTGATGTACATATAAAAACTGCACATGATAGGGTAACTAACCCCAGTACTGCAGAGGTGGAAATAAGTGGGCCCTGAAGGATCACTAGCCAGCTGCCTAGCCAAGATGGTGAGCATTAGATTCAAAGAAGAGATCTGTCTCAGAAAACAAAAACAAACAACAACAACAAGTGGGCATGGTGATGTACGGCTGCAGTCCCCGCACTTGGGAAACAGAGGTGGGAAAATCTCTGTGAGTTTGAGGTCAGCCTGGTGTACACAGCAGTTCCAGGACAGCCAAGGCTACACAGAGAAACCCTGTCTCAAGAAATAAAAATGCTGGGCCCGGAGAGACGGCTCAATCGTTACAGCACTGGCTGCTCTTCCAGAGGTTCAGTTCCCAGCACCCACACGGTGGCTCACACCTTCTCCACTGGGATCTGATGCCCTCCTCTGGCATAAAGGTGTACGTGTAGATAGAGCACTCAGACACATAAAATAAACAAATCTTTAAAAAAGTAAAAATAAAAATGCTGAGAGCTGTAGAGGAAGACATTGCAATATCATCCTCTGGTCTCCACTTGCACCCACCCCTACACTCATACACTCATGACCACACGCATGCATACACCACACACATACACACAAGAAAAATATTTTCCTGTGTTATAGAGAATCTTAATGTCTTGCTTTTACACACGTATACATGTACATACATATGTGATTATATTGTACATATTGATCACTTGGAAAAGTTTAGAATATATGCTACTTTGTAGTTGTAAGATTAATTTTCTTATTTAGCTCAAGTATTAAAATTTCTAAAATATATGACAAATTAGTTTCCATTTGATATAATCATATATATAATATATGTGTGTATACACACACACACACACACACACACACACACACACACACACATACACATATATATATGACCACAGACAACTTCTTTGTTTTGTAGATGACTATAAAATGCCTCCACTTCCCTAATGAAAGTATTTTAACTCCATTACAGAGCTGGTCAGGATGATTTGGCAAATGTGGTTGTTCTGTTATAGGCTAATGGAAGAACGGAGAGAAAGAATAAATAACTTCCTAAGTGAACTAATGAAAGAGAAACTTGACACTGAAGATTTGATTATTGCTAGAGACATTGCTGAAGCCGAGGCTGAACTGGAGAGAAGAGAAAAAGACAAACATGAGAAAACTCAAGCCCAGCTGAAAGCAATCGCAGACTATAGAGCCTCTGTGGTAAACCCTTCAGTTCCAGGGCGTAGAGTTGAGACTACCCTGCTGTGGCGGCTACCTCTTGCCTCTCTCTCAAAACTAACAGATTTGAAAAAGCAGTGTGCAAATTGTCTTCCTACATTCTTGAAACAAACACTTTTTTATTTATAAACTCTATTATATAAATTATATTATAAAAAACCCTTGCAAATAGAAAAATCCTACACTGAAATGAACTCGATGCAAAGTCCATACATCCTGATGAACATCTCTACAGTTAGGATGGCCCTTAGGAGAAGACGTGCAGCTTCACATTGGACTTGACACTTTGACTGTTGAGTTTATTTGTACGCTCTTATCCTCCACCACGGGCGAAAACTCCATGACAGAGTTAGAACTAAATGAACAATTGGAGCCTTTCGTGACTTCTCCTCATTACCCACACCCAGTCCTTCCTCATCTCCTAATGATTAGCTTTTCTTGTTCTCTTTCCTACATCGCACACATGTACATTTATTTACACATGTACATATATTATAGGCTAGGTTTGTATATAAGGGAGAACATGAAGGTTTTTTTCTTCTGCGATTGTGTGTTCTTACCTCAAGTATACACTCTAGGACCATCCAATTTCTTTCAAATATTCAGGTTACAGTTTTCTTTAGAATATATACAACGTATTTTCATTATCCATTCATCTGTTGATGGAAAACTAGGTTGATTCCTATTTTTTTGTTACAGTGAATAAAGCAGCTATAAACATGGGGGTTTGGTATTTCTGTGGTATGGTGTGGAGTTCTCTGGATATTTGCCCAAAAGTGAAATTGCTGGGGAAAATTGTAGTTCTGTTTCTAAATTTTTTGAGAATTTTTCCAAACAGATTCTCACAGTGGCTGTATTAATTTGCACCCTCACCAACAATAAATAAGGGTTCCGTTCTATCCACATCTTCTCCAACATTTGTTGTCAGATTTGTTGATGATAGCCATTCTGACTGGGGTGAGATAGTATCTTGAAGTCATTTTAATTTGCATTTCCCTGATAGCTATCGATATTGTACACCTTTTCAAACAGTAATGGCCATTCACGTTTTGTTTGTTTGTTTGTTTGTTTGTTTTCAAGACAGGGTTTCTCTGTGTAGCTTTGCGCCTTTCCTAGAACTCACTCTGTAGCCCAGGCTGGCCTTGAACTCAGAGATCCACCTGGCTCTGCCTCCCAAGCGCTGAGATTAAAGGCGTGTGCCACCACCGCCCGGCCACCATTCACATTTTTATATTTTTGGTTGTGAGCCTAGCCTTTAACGGCTGAGCCGTCTCTCCAGCCCCACCATTCACATGTTTATGTATAGGATCTGTTCAGGTCGTTTGCTTTTGTTGATTGGCAGTTGTGTTTCCCTAGTGTTTAATTTCCGCCATTTGTAAACTCTGGATGTCAGCCCTTTGTCTGAAGTTGGCTAGTGATGATTTTCTCCCATCTGGAGTCTGTCTGTGATCTCTCCTGATGGTTTCCTTTTGCTACACAACTCTTTTTATTTTCAGGGAGCCCCATCTGTGGATACTGGGCTTGGTTCCTGTGCTGTTATTGTTCTAGTCAAAAATGTCTGCCTATCTATCCCAGTATATTGAAGAGTATTCCCTCTGTTTTCTTCTGGAACGTTCAGTGTTTGGGGCTCTAAATTAAGGTCTTTGATCCATTTTGAGTAGATTTTTTTTTTTAATGTATACAGAGGAGGGTGCCAGATCTCATTACAGATGGTTGTGAGCTACCATGTGGTTGCTGGGAATTGAACTCAGGACCTCTGGAAGAGCAGTC